TCGGTATGGTCAAAACTTAAAGAAATATAATTCATATTTTCAAATAGGAGAAAAACATTTGTAGTTGAGGCATCTCCCTCAATGCTCTACGGTGGTTGCAAAAAAAATCAGATCAGTCAGTGAGATTTTCCTTAATTATACGTATTTGTGTAAAAATCCATCTAAAGATTATCTTACATAATATATGTAGTTTAAAATTAATTAATACTCAGCGATGTTAAACAGTTTAGGACATTGAAAATGTGACCTTAGCACTGTTTTCATATTTATTTCTTCTTTAACAATTGTAACAGAGCAAAATACCTGTAGAAAAATGTAATATAGCTATCCATGGGCTGGGAAATACACAGTACGAGTTATATCGCAGGTATCAACTGTTTGTGTATAACAATAAATTGTTAATCTGAATGTAGAAAATGAGGATAGTGCAAGGACATACGGCTGTTTCTTTTTTCCAAAAAAAAAGATACACGTTTAACATGTTTAAGATGTTGATTTCCTTTACCCTTAAAGTGCTGGGGGCTAGCCTGTGCTGTTTGGAAAATACTGAAATTTTGCCGAAAATGCGTATAATAGCTTAAAAAAATCAACGTCGCTAAATTTCTGTTATAAATAAATATAATGTAATGCAGGCCAGAATTAGCTCTCAGCACTTTTTTTAAAATATAACACTATAGGAGAAATAAATATGCCATATTTCATCTCAAACAAAATAGTATATGCCCATGTACTTAAAAAATTGATGAAAATCACGAATTCACTTATTGTTCTAACGATATTCTCTGTCCCTCTGCAGCTCAAAGGCTACCAGATCAATTCAAATTCTATACAAATTGTATTTAATAAATTATTTTCTTTGAATTTTAATGATTAGGTTAAATAACGATGATATAATACTTTTTTAAGAATTTTTATACTTAATAATTAAACCAATAAATCTAGTCCTCTGGATCGCCTGTTCTGCGTAATGTAAATGCTGATGACGACATATTTGACGAGAGACATTCCTAAACATATAGTTGAGTAATAAGACAATAAAAGGTGTTTATTATGTTTTTGATTCTCGCAAACCACAGCCAAAATGTACGACCTTCCAATGCGAGTAAACATAGCTTAGTGTTAATTTTTATACAAAAATAGCAATCTTAAAAGAAAATAAAAGGTGCTTATTATGTTTTTGATACACAGCTAATTAAATGGCGTGTTTTTTCCTGATTTCGTTGTTATAAAAAAAAAAAACACGGACAAACCTGCCACGAATTATTACCAATAATTATATGACAATCAATCGCATGCTGTAAATTTGTCGTCCTTTGATTTCTAAATCAAGTCGAAATGTGTAGTTTATTTTTTTTAATTATGCTATTTTAGCACCAGAAGTTACGATTTATGGTACAATATAAGTATTTGTTCACATAGTTGCTGTATGTGAAAACAATGATTGTCAGAATGGAATTTGTATGGCGGACCAATCCAGGATAAGAGGATACACGTGTAAATGTACTATTGGCTTTGACGGGGATAATTGTCAAGGTAAACTATCTATAACTTTCATTGCAACAAACCTGAAGCTTACTTTCATGTTCTAAAGAAAATGTTTAGTGTCAAGTATTATAGCAACTATTGACATTATTATTATTAATTTTCCTCTTCAGTCTGATTCGGAAATGAAGTGTAACTATCAAGTATTTTATTATGGATTAAACGTTTTGTTTTTAGAATTCATTAATGTGTTAACTTAAGACCTCTTACTCACAAAGTGAATAAAAGTACGACTTTTATGTAAGCGTTGCAAGTAGAAAAGCATGAGTTTACACATTGCATTGATAACCTCTGAATGAAAATAACGCTTAGTTTTTCTTTCTAATTCCATTAACAAATATTAAAAATTATTTCTTTTTAAAGCTTCAATAAAAATTGTTAATTTGTACTTCGTACGAATACATTTATACCGCAATGTATGAATGAAACGTACTAGAAATGAATGTCGATAAAATTCCACAAAACTTTTCCAAACAATTAATGAAATACAGGTGTATACATGCTATTTAAGCACCATGAGTTACGATTTAAGACCTAATTTAAATATTTGTTCAAATAGTTGATGTGTGTGACAATCATGATTGTCAGAATGGGACTTGTGTGGCAGACCATTCAAAGATAAGAGGATACACGTGTAACTGTACCATTGGCTTTGATGGAGATAATTGTCAAGGTAAGTTGTCTGTAACTTATATTGTAACAAGCCTCAAGCTTATTTTTTTGAACATCAAACGTGTTAATTAAATTTCATTTTCAGTTTCTTTTCTTTTCAAATGCATTCTTGTGACGTACTTTGATCAGTTATTTTTACTTTTTGTACTTTCTTCTTTGTCGGAGCAATTTTTTGAACGATTTTTGGCAAACTTAAAAACAGCTTTTGCATAATTCAATTTTTGTAGCTAAGTTACTTTGAAGACTCTTACATGACATTATAATCGAAGAAGCTCGAATTAAGCTACTGATCATGATTCACATTAATAAGTTTTTTGTGGTCTTTGTAATGAAATTTTTTGCAAATGCAATCTATCAGCAAACTGCCTTTAAAGTCATTAATCACTGTCCAATCCTTTTGAGTCCTTTACTTCTTCACCATGCATCATTTATTGATTTGTGTGAAAGCATTAAGCAAATCAATGAACATATCTATCATAATAAAGATCACTCCATGTCGTATTAAAGACAGCTGATACAAACAATTTTTTTTTCCTTAGAGGAGACTTAATATCATGTCACAAGTTTAAGAAAGTGGATAATTCTTAGAATTTTTTCTCCTAAGACCTGGAAAATGAAATTGACTTGGAAAATTCTATAAATATTTCAATTAAAAGGAAATATAGACAAATCACAGTCAGTAAAGGTTTACAGGTGAATATAAATCTCGGAATATTTTATCTTGGTGCTTAAGGTGTAAAATAAACTTTAGAAAAATATACCAAGCCAGGTGAATTTTATGAGCAAGAACAAAATGACAAAAAATCAGCAATATCACATGGGCTGAATTTTACCATTTTGCCTTTTCTAATAAAATTAACCTGGCTTTGTATATTTTTCTTAAAGTTCATATTACACTTTTAGCACCAAGGTAACATTTTCTGAAATTTATTTTCATCTGTAGACCTTAACTGAGTGTTGTCTATATTTGAAATTCCATTGAAATATTACTAATATTTTCCAAGTCTATTTCATTTTCCAGTTCTTAGGAGAATTATTTAAAAGAATTATCCATTTTTCTAAACTTGTGACATAATATTAAGTCTCCTCCAAAAAAAATTGTATGTATCATCTGTCCTTAAGCGCTTTTGCACAAATCAACGCAGAAATTTTAACATAAAAATAGTATTTCCATTTTAATTTTTATACGCAAAAAATCTTTCTTATCGAACCTTTTATGCTAAAGTTTATTTTCCCAATGCGTATTCTGATGTTTTTTGTAGATAAAAAACGTTGCGACAATTGCATTGAATGTAAGTTTCTTTTTAGCTCACCTGAGGTGAAGGTTCAAGTAAGCTTTTCTGATCAAATTTTGTCCGTTGTCTGTCGTTTTCAATGTAAAATGTTTACGTTTTTATGGCCCCGAGCGAAGGTCGAACGTCATCTAGTGATCGGTCAGATTTACGCGACCGGATGTGTAATAGATTGAAAATAAAATTGCATTAATTGTATCTTCAATGAAATTTACTACAAAACAACGATATTATGTTTAATTTTAATGCAAGAAAAACGTTATGGTTGTTGGGTATGAATTTCTACAGAGAGGGTGCGTCGAATGACATGAATAACATTTTGAGACCGATTACTGTAATATAAACAACCTAAAAAACAGTTTTAAGTGTATGTTGGTAAACTTTTCCCGAGTACCATGAGATTTGGTGCCGAGCGAAGCGAGGGACTAAATCGAATGGCGAAGAAAAAGTTTAACAACATACTTAGTACATGCTTCACACGAGAAATTAAGCCCTTTGTGTCTCTGTCCATTTAATTAAACATCTTTGTGTGTTTCTTATTATTCAATCAAGATAACGATAGTTTGACCCTGACTGTTGCCATTTTTTACAGGCCCAGCTGTGATAATTATACCCTCGGGGTAATATCTACCTGTCTTGAGACGGTCTACTGTGAGTAGTTTCCAAAGAGGATACAGGTTCATTTTTTTAGATTCAAAAATCTCTGTATGAACATAGTCATATATGTCATTTTGATGAATTTAATTCAGGGGAATTTTATTCTTGTGGGCATTATTAAACATTTGTTTTTGGTGGTAAGGCTGACAAATTTTTCCTGAAAGAAAAGGCTTCCGGAGAAATTAACGTATCGCCAGCTGTCAATCACAACAAATTTTCAATCAATGAAATAATTTCGTTTATTCTGCGCGTTCAGTAAAAACTTGGTCCGCCATATGCTCCGACAAACACTCTCAGTGGGTTGAGTGGTCGACAATAAACAAATTGAACAAATAAGTCTGTGATGGTTAAAAATATGCAGTTGAACGGATTTTTTCGTTATTTCCTGACAGGTATCCCGAAAGGGAATTATGGATGTTTCGGGACCGCCATGCTTTGGGACGCCGACGTTTCGAGACCTGACAACACATTTCGGGACTTGGGTTAACACGTTTTGGTCAGAAATAAAATAAAACTCGTTTTCTTGTTTGTTATGTTTATACATGTATACTTTCTTAGTTTGATACACAAAAAAACGGTATAATTATAAATCCATGCACAGTATACACGGTATAGATGTTCATTTGACAGACTGTCTTTGCGTTTAAAATATAAAAATATTTATGAATAATAGAATACATGTGTATATCTATATGATAGATAATAATGCTTAATCAGTCCATAACACTTCTACGTATGTGCATGTTTTACCCTCAAAATAATTGTCAGAATACATCCACATTTTATAAGAGAACTATACACTTTTTGAATTTTTAATTTTACATTTTTTTTGACTTGTGTACAGAAAGTTACCGGTTTTTATTACCAGTTATTATTGCATACACAGGATTAGGTTTATAAACTTTTATTTCCCCCCTTTTTAAAAAAATAAATTCGAATTAATCTACCCATTAAAAATGATTCTATTTTATCGCTAAAAATTAATTTTTTTAATAACACCCCCCCCCCCTTACGTATTACTAGCATTATTTAATCTATTAAAAACACCATCATGTACTGGCAAAATATCGAAATTATTTAATAACTTCATTTTTTATATTTTTGTCATTACCCGTATTATAATCAATATCTGTAACGAATTAGTCCGATTTTGTTATATGAGGGTTGTCCCAGAAAAACACAAACTTTGTATAATTGATTTGTTTACATAATATATATCTGACTAAAATTATTCAAAATCTTCATGCACTACTATCTATTATTGCATAACAGTGTGCATATTTTCCACCAGAACTTAAATATATATATATATATATATATATATATATATATATATATATATATATATATATATATATATATATATATATATATATATATATATATATATATATATTTATTTCCAATGGCATATTATTTATTCTCCGCTTCACTGAAAAAGTCGAACAAGCCAAAAAAAAAAGGGGGGGGTGCCGTCGACAACCGCAGATTATTGTGGAGGTGGTGTCGGCGTATTATTTATTTTCTTCCATTTGAGGAAATATCATTTATTTCCAAAACTGATTCAACATTCAACTCCTTTATCAGCCAGACACCCCCTTCAGAATCAAATGATCGTCCCCTTATAGTGTAGATAGGCACTAGAGGCATGTCTTGACAATGTCGTATGGGTTTTGTATATTATTGCTGATTTAATAAAATTATTACATTACAAATTGAATTAAAGGTCGTTGTCGTATTTTATCAGGTGAACCGGTTATCATTTACATGTACCCACATTTGCAGTCGCAATGTGCAGTGTGCTTCTGTCTTCGTCGACATGGATGTTTACACAGTGGCGTAGCATCGTTTTTGAAAGTAGGGGGGGGGGCAGCCAGAGAAAAATTTTTTTTTACTTAGGGCTACCTGAAAAAGTAGTCAGTTGACAGTTGGCCCCCCTGTTGCTACGCCCCTGTTACAGTATGAGGGAACTCAGACTTTATCATGCTTCGATAAAATTTCCCAAAAAGGGTTAATACGGAATCATTTTTTATAATATTTTAAGTGAATGAAATATATGAAAGCTTTTGTAAAAGCATTTGCCCTTTGTTTTGTCTCAAAATGTTCGTATGGCAAATATTTTGCAGCAAAATCCTCAGGAACTTCGGACAAGTCAACCGGCGTCGACTTAAATACCGAGTTACACGCTATGTTGATGATGTCGGAGCATCATAGGAGTTATCTCCCATAGCGCGATGGGCGGAGTTTGGCGATACGTTAATTGAAAAGCAGGAAAAAAGAAAGGTTTACGATTGGATATACATGTGCACTACTAGAGCAATATAGGACGGTTCCAAAATATTTGAACTTCTTGAAACAATCAAATTTAGACTTTTTGCTGTTTCCTAATCAGTCCATATCTGTTTAATTGGAGTAAAAAAATAAATTAAATAGTAAGTAAAATACTTTTTGCTCTCACTTCCCAATGCGATAATTTTGATTAAAGTATCAATGTCAATGATAAATCTTGAATATTCAATTAATTACTAGACATTTCTCAAATTTCTCTTTTACTTTTAATTTTAATTAATTTTTTTAATGTTTTAATTTTGGCTAATGTAGAATAATTCAGGAAGAAAGACAGCGGTAGAGAAAGACTGAGATCTTCCTTCCCGTACTAATTTATGTAACTACGTAGATTTTTTTACTATGTTACAGTAGCACATCAGGTCCATTATTCATTGTCTGGTGACCTTGCCCTGTGTCCATGATTATAATGACCTATCATTGGTAATGATTTGCTCAATAATTATGCACACAATGGCGGAGTCATCCAACCATGAAGCTTGGGCTTAGGGTGTACCAAGTGATTTGGTACACGCAAAAATCCTTTGTTCGAGGTGTGGAACATGTACTAAAACTAATTACAAAATAAACACGAATACTACAAGACTATAAAGATTGAGTTTCTTAATTTTAGCTTTACTTTTACAATCTTCAATCCAAACTATTTTATATGTATTTTTTTGTTACCGGTTCACTCACTTGACCTATTTCTTTCTTCAGATCTTTTGATATTGTTTTTCTTGTTCGACGCCATTGAAGCCTTTCAGGCTTCATTATCTTCTTCTCAAGAACCACTGGGCCAAATTTAACAAATCTTGGCACAAAAAATCCTCTGGTGAAGGGGATGCAAGTTTGTTTAAATAAAGGGCCACACCCTCCTCTATGGATTTCGAGAAAAATTAATGGCATCTTTTGAATATCTTCTTCTAAAGAACAACGGGACAAGGAAAGCTGAAAGCTGACACTCATATGGAAACACCCTCATATAGGGTAGATTCATATTCGTTCAAATCATGACCCCCGAGGGCAGGGTGGGGCCACAATGGGGTATCAAAGTTTAACATAGGAATACATAGGAAAAATCATTAAAAATCTTCAAAATCTTCTCAAGAACCTCTGGGCCAGTAAAGCTGAAACTCAGATAGAAGCATCCTCGTGTAGTGAGGATTCAAGTTTGTTCAAAATTCAAATCATGACCTATAGTATCAAAGTTTAACATAGGAATACATAGGGAAAAAAATTAGAAACCTTCTTCTCAGGAACGTCAGGGTAAGGAAAGCTTAAGCTCAGATGGAAGCATCCTCATGTAGTGTAGATTCAAATTTGTTCAAGCCATGGCCCAAGGGGGTAGGGATGGGCCACAATGGGGTATCAACGTTTAACATAGAAATGCATATAAAAAAAATTCTTTTGAAATCTTCTCAAGAACCACTGGGCTAGGAAAGATGAAACTCATGTGGAAACATCCTCTGGTATTGAAGATCAAAATTTGTTCAAATTATGACCCCCAGGGGTAGGGTGGGGCCACATTGTGGTATAAAAAGATTAGCATAGGAATACATGAGAAAAAATAATTTTCTCAAAAACAGCAATTAAACCCATGATTGGTCAGAAACATATGGAAGCAGCCTCTGTTAAATATATGTAAATTTATGTTTGTACAAATCATGATCCCCATGGGTAGTATGGGGGAACAAAATTTTACATAGGAATACATAGGAAAAATCTTCTTCTCGGGAACGGTATTGCCATGGTTGGTGATAGATAACACTCTCATAATGTGTCATTAATTCAAGAGCATCCTCAGAAACAGTAGATTTATGTCTATTCAAACACCCCACCCCACCCCACCCCACCCCCCTACGAAACCCAATTTTGTATATTTTATATTTTTTTCAATACTAAACTGATATTTGCTTTAACCTAGCCAGTTGTGCGGGTGAGCAATGTGGACCCTGTGTCTCTTATTTTAATTACATAATTTAATTTCATACTTTATATAATTTAGTATTTGCATCAAAAACAATTTGAAATTGTTTATCTTTATTAATAAATTTTGCAACATGGATGCATTTAGACGTGAAAAACAATAGTTGGATACTGGCTTTTAAGGCCCAAAGTCAGACAGGAATTAACCCTGTCGATGTCTACAAGTCAGTTGGCATCAGACACGAGGTCAACCGGTCCTATCCACTGGAATGTACAGCACTGAAACAGATTCCTGGTTGCTTTATGCCATACAGAACTGGCTTAATTGATGATTGGGAAGAAATTAATGTCAATCGGGTAAACATATTTCATTTTATGGAGTAAATAAAACTTTAAGGACGGATGATAAAAAGACTGTTTTCGTAAATATCTTTGGACATATTGTGGTTGTGTTGATGCAAATAATAAAGTTCTAATATATTAAGGAATTGTCAACTTTTCCTTTCTGCAACTATCCTAAATAATCTCTACATATCTTTCTCATTTGAATTCCGATTATTGTGAAACTTTGAATGAAAATTTAATGGCTATGCGGTTAAAAGTATTTCTTTTACTTATATAAACATGACTCAGTGTTACGATGAAAAAAAAATACTATTATTTTTACTTAAATAGAAATTGCAGATTAAGACACATTGATACTATGATAAGAGAGATTACTCTTAATGACACAAATGTTTATGATTCCTTTATAAATGTGTCAAGTTTAAATGCCTTTTTTGTCAAATTTAGCCCCACAAGCCATGCTATAATTGTTATTTAGCATATACGAGGGTTGATTCAAAAGTTTGTGGAATTTCTTTATGTTTTATTTATTTATCAGTGAAATTGGTTGAAAGTTACAAATGAGAATATAGTTACTTGTTGAATATTTTAAATAAAAGCATGTTTTAAATAATTTTTATAGTAACTCTATGGCAATTGCCATAGAAATGGATGTTTGGAAATGCGGGGAGACAGCAACGTGTTTATTATCATTTTAATTTTTAATACTTGAAATGAGAATAAAACCGCCCCATTTGTTATAGAAAAAGAAAAAATTATGTCATTATTACGATTACTTGATCTTTTATAAACCTTTTGTGTGAGTTTTACTGATTTTACTGGATATTTTGTTTATTTAAGAAATAAATAACAAGTTTATAAACTTCAATGGGAATTGAATTTAGTGATCAAATCCTGTGAAGGCCGAAGGCCTTCTCAGAAGATTTGATGGACCGACCCACTTCAATTCCCATTGAAGTTTATAAACTTGTTATTTATTACTTATATATACATTTGAGACAGACAATTGAATATTTTCGAATTTAAATTATTGCACTAACCGTACATTTTGAAAAATGACGCAAGGTGTAAATCGGCTTGCATGGCGGTTACGCCTCGAATTCATTAGGCTACTTTAAGGAATCTATTTCGAAGGGAATATTTTGTGAAAGGCTATACTTGTGATCAGTTATGGTGAACAGATTGTTGTCTCGAAATATTATTATTCTTGAAAATTGATAATCGATGCTGAAAAGACACAAGAAACACGTCCGAAGTTTGATAAAATGTTGGAGGAATTTCGGTCGTCGGAAAGGGATGGATGGATCCGATGGATTGAGACACTTGTCCGAGCCAGTTAATTTGCAATTTGATAAAAAAACATTCTACGATTTCAGTAATTAAAGGCATAATTATCGTAAAACACTGATAAACACAGAGACACTGGCGACAGCTTTACATTGAACTACGAAAACGCCAAGGTGTTTGGCAGCTGTTGATGACATGACATTGCATTGATTGCAATGATATTTTCCAACAGATTTACACTTTTATCGTGAGTAGAATTTAAAGATAAAATAATAGTTTATATAGAAAATTTAACGAAAGGTCTACCCCAAAAATAAGGATGAACGTTAGGTGCAGCTGACAAAAGTGAAAAAAATGTAAACAAACGCTAGTTTTCTCTATGTTCACAGGTTGAATCGATAGCCAACAAACTGTATGAAATACTAGTTTACATTGTAAATATAATAATAATTATCATTTTACTTGCTTATTTTGTTCATTTTTATACATGAAAAGCAAATAGAGCTGGTCATTTTTTAATTTTTGTACCGGTAGATATTATTGCGCAGTGTGATTAGGTCACGTATTGACCTCTGACCTCTGACAAACTTCATATAGAATTGAAGATATTTTCTCTTTGTATGTTTATATAATGGAGAGATACCACAAATGTATATATTATTTGATAATTTATTGTTCATCTTTAGGTTGTTAGACGACGTCAAATATCGGTCAAGTTATGCGTTTTGTGAAAAATCCTGGATAACTCTTCCTTAAATGCGTATATTATTGACATAGTCTAGGTAAAATGCGTTTAGTTACTGGTTTTCCAGTGGCCTAATAAATTGAAGAAAAATAAAACTTCCATTGATGTTGATTAAGGTGTGGCCTCTGTTTTAAGTCTTTATCCCCCTAGACAAATTAAAAGTGTTAATAGATGTTGTCTGCTGACGGACTGTTCTTGGCATGTATCCGAAATCCATCATATGGAAAGATGGGGGATTCATTTTAAAATATGAGTGAAAAGTGGAGATAAGTCAAAACTTCAAAACGTGTGAATATACCAAGGCTTTTCATGAGGAAAAAATGGAGAAAGGGGTAGCATTTGTAGAATTACGTGTTCAAATTGGACATTAGGGTGAGATGCTTCTATAACGCTACGTGACATGCCTAACTTGACTAACTTCCCTCGGGTATCACACTTACCCATTTTCAGAAAGCTTGTGTGACCTCACTTGTAATTGGAAAGTGGTAAAATTTTCCAGTATTGTTGCATTATGACTGTATTTTATAAACATGCCTATTGTTTGCTTTTATAAAATCACAATAAAATTTTCGGAAGAAATTCCACAAACCTTTGGATAAACCCTCGTACATTTCCACTGGAAAATTATTATCAAGTTATAGAAAAAAAATGAGTAATATGAGTAAGCAGAGGTTTTATGAACCTTAAATAGGAATTTGACATTGCATTCTGATTCAGTTTTACATTTTTAAACCTAACTGACATGATTCGGACACAATGCAGATACTGACTTCGTTGTATTTAAATGTCAACGATAAAATCTATTCCAGGTAAAGTTTCAAGTGATAATTGATGACACAAATACGCAAGAAGTAGTTTTTGATGGAAGAACAACTGACAATATTAACTGGTTCACAGCCTCAAGAATCCTAAGTTCTACATGGCAGGATGTAACATCCGATGGACAATTCAATTATTTTACCCTGGAGGGACATCAAGAGTAATATTATTTTTCATTATACTTTCATGTTGAATACTAAAATCTGATTGGTTTAGACGCAGTTAACAATCCGTTGTATTACCGTGCTATTACCCTCAGCCTTAGCAATACACTTGAAAACGGATAACACAACGGTAATGCGACATGCGTGGAAATTATGCGCGTACAGTTCACAGTAGAATTCTAAAAGCGTCAGTTGCGCGTTTGAAAGAACCAGATTAAAATTGACGTCAATAAAAGCTTGCGTCCGATGTAGCTTACTTGATAACAACAAACGACAGACGAAACATGCTTGTAAGTGCAGAAATAACAAAACTTCAGATGATAAAGGACTCTCAGGGTATCAAACAAACAATAAAGAGGTCAGTAAATCTTTTTCGAAGTAACGGGAAGTTTGAAAGATTTTTAAACGTGAACATCAAGACAATGGATGATTTTTTTTGGCTGACATCCTTAATCAACAAGACATTCAGTATAATAAAATAAATGGTGCCTGTTTTGGAGGGTAATCGTTGAAATTGACACCCTCGGAAAACCATTGTCAACCTCCGCTGACGCGTCGGTTGACAATAGTTTTACTTTGGGTGTCAATTTCAACTGCTACCCTCCAAAACAGGCACCATTTATATATTATTTTTGCTTTAATCTCATCAAAAACAGAAACAGACCAACGACAGGAATTTCTTATTATAATATTTATTGTCAATAACGTTCAACAATATCTAGACAATTCTTTCTCAGAAGTCTTGTGTTAATATCTCACCTGGGCTACAAGGAGCTCTATGGATTGGTATTGTTGTTTATGTAATCTCAGATTTATATATATATGAGTAAGAGAAGGGGGATAATACATACTATATATTATTGCTTACATTTCATATCAATTTATGAGCAATGGTATATAATTGAAAAACTAATGACAGATATTTTCATTTCATTTATATGTAGTATATATTTACTTATTTAATTATCCATTTAATTAATTAATTAATCAGATGTACATGATATCTGTTTTTATGTTAAATTTGTATTGGAATATTAATATAATTCTTCCTTAACATCCAAATATTTCGTGTAATCAAAAGGTATTTCTGTATTATTTTTAATAAAAAGCCAGTCTATGGCATTTTAAGTTTTTTTTCTATCTCAGTATAATTACTTACGAATTAGAATAACTATTTAAATATTTTAAAAAATATAAATATCTGAGTTAATCTAAATTTGGAAATATTGTATAAATTAAAAGCAGTTGCGAAATATACGTAGTATGCAGAAAAAGTATTTTATGTAGCTGAGGGTAACAGTGACAATATCCCCTCGAGATGTTTATTGTCAGTCGAAAGACACCTCAAATTGATAATAGGTTTTCGGGACGTTCTTGGGTTTGCTAAATTATTCAAAAATAAAAGCAAGAGATCAGTAAGGTTTGTTTCTATGAGGGACTAGTACTTTTTTTTGAAAAGTCTCTCTACCACTTTCTTGACAAAATATAGAGAACACCAATATTCTAACGTTAGAAAATATTCGACATGAAGTTGGTACTGGTGTTGTTCTTTGTTATCAGTGAGCTTATTGGCAAGAAGTCTAAAAAATACATATAAGAATAAAAATATATCTCCAAGCGACATTATCCTTTGAGCAGTGATGCCATACCAGTAATCATTGTATAATTACTTCACATTGTGTCTTCAATAATAATAAATAAGTTTAATCAAAGTAAACCTGTTTTTCGACGTGACCAAAAATGGTAAAGTTTACAACTCTATGATGACCATTTTTATAAGTTGTATTTATAATTCATTGTAGAAACTTTGTAAATCGTCAATTTTATATCTCCCGTGAACATGCTGGTTGTCCCAATGACAAGGGATGGTTCGCTTCTTCTTTTTTTCCAAAGATTGGATGTGGCTTTGATAACATAGGAGGAAAATTTCCCGCTTTTGTTGCTTGTCCTAAAGCAACACACTGCGTAATGGAGTCAGGTTAAGTAGTATAAACTACTGTTAATTAAAATAATTTTGTAGAATAAGTTTTTCGTTGTTTTAGAAAAATAATATTCCTTCCTTTGGTATGGATTTCGTTGATAAAAAGCTGCTGAGTTATTATAATCTATAATAAATTTTACAATTCATTGGGGACATGGATTTTTGGATCTTATTATACCTTAAAAAACAAAGAAAAAAAACCGCAGGAAAATTTGATTTCACACTACCTTGATTAAAACTTTTCAATTTCTACCATTTGCACCATTGTAAATATTTTACTTTTCAATATACAGATTAGATATTGATATTTCTATTATACATTTTGCACACAAGTTTCTTTGCTTGTGCAATTAGGTGATCGGATATTTTTTATGAGTTTTTTTGTGTTTAAAAACAAAAAAAGGAGACTCATTGCTTGTTTTAATAATCTGCCTGAAATGTGTAATCTGAATGTGTGATTTGACTAAATAAACATAAAACTGTCTTTAATTATATTTGATTTTTATTATTTTAGAGGCTGTCAACGCTCAAGCTATTGCTATATGGATTAAATTTGACAATTGAAGGACTGCAAACATCAGGACAAAGAATAAAAACTGTATATTTCTTCAAATAAATTAACAAGTTCTCAAAATAAACCATGAAATCTGTAACGTTGTTTATTGATTATATTTCCCTTGATATATTCCTTTTTCTATTTACCTGTACTGTAACAGGGTAAAGTTTTGCATCAACAAGCACCGGTTTTTAGGGCATCACCCAGATAATTATTCATTTTTATATAATGGATACGAAATAGAACGCTCATGAACACATTGAGAGAAATGAATGACAAACGATACACAGACATGTATATATATATATATATCACTCTTTAAAGCTTATTCCGTTGTATCAATTATCAAACTGAAAGGAAGATGTTTTTATTCACTTATTCTAAAAGAGAAAATGACATTCCATGAGAAGAAATTTAAATGAAAAGGATTAATATGAAGTTAATATTGATATTTAGACTTTTTAGCTCACCTGAGCCGAAGGCTCAAGTGAGCTTTTCTGATCACATTTTGTCCGGCGTCCGTCTGTCTGTCCGTCTGTCCGTCTGTCTGTCTGTCTGTCTGTAAACTTTTCACATTTTCGACTTCTTCTCAAGAACCGCTGGGCCAATTTCAACCAAACTTGCCACAAAGTATCCTTGGGTGAAGTGGATTCAAGTTTGTTCAAATGAAGAGCCACGCCTTTATTCAAGGGGAGATAATTGGGAATTAATGAAAATTTGGTGGCATATTTTAAAAATCTTCTTCTTAAGAACCACTGTGCCAGGAAAGAAGAAATTTATGGGGAAACACCCTCAGGTAGTGTAGATTCAAGTTTGTTCAAATCATGACCCCCGGGTGTAGGGCAGGGCCAAAATAGCCGACTAAAGTTTTACATAGTAATATATAGGAAAAATCTTTAAAAATCTTCTTCTCAAGAATGTCAAAGCCATAATTCATCATATTTATATGGGAGCATGCTCAGGTAGTGTAGATTCAAGTTTGTTCAAATCATGACCCCCAGGGGTAGGGCGGGGCCAAAATGGCCGACCAAAGTTTTACATAGAAATATATAGGAAAATTCTTTAAAAATCTTCTTCTCAAAAAAGACAAAGCCATAATTCATCATATTTATATGGAAGCATGTTCAGGTAATGTAGATTCAAGTTTGTTCAAATCATGACCCCCCGGGGTACGGCGGGGCCAAAATGGCCGACCAAAGTTTTACATAGTAATATATAGGAAAATTCTTTAAAAATCTTCTTCTCAAGAATGACAAAGCCATAATTTATCATATTTACATGGAAGCATGCTCAGGTAGTGTAGATTCAAGTTTGTTCAAATCATGACCCCCGGGGGTAAGGCGGGGCCAAAATGGCCGACCAAAGTTTTACATAGAAATATATAGGAAAATTCTTTAAAAATCTTTTTTTCAAGAATGACAAAGCTATAATTCATCATATTTATATGGGAGCATGCTCAGGTAGTGTAGATTCAAGTTTGTTCAAATCATGACCCCCGGGGGTAGGGCGGGGCCAAAATGGCCGACCAAAATTTTACATAGAAATATATAGGAAAATTCTTTAAAAATCTTCTTCTCAAAAAAGACAAAGCCATAATTCATCATATTTATATGGAAGCATGTTCAGGTAATGTAGATTCAAGTTTGTTCAAATCATGACCCCCCGGGGTAGGGCGGGGCCAAAATGGCCGACCAAAGTTTTACATAGAAATGTATAGGAAATTTCTTTAAAAATCTTCTTCTCAAGAATGACAAAGCCATAATTTATCATATTTATATGGAAGCATGCTCAGGTAGATTCAAATTTGTTCAAATCATGACCCCCGGGGTAAGGCGGGGCCAAAATGGCCGACCAAAGTTTTACATAGAAATATATAGGAAAATTCTTTAAAAATCTTTTTTTCAAGAATGACAAAGCTATAATTCATCATATTTATATGGGAGCATGCTCAGGTAGTGTAAATTCAAGTTTGTTCAAATCATGACCCCCAGGGGTAGGGCGGGGCCAAAATGGCCGACCAAAGTTTTACAAAGAAATATATAGGAAAATTCTTTAAAAATCTTCTTCTCAAGAATGTCAAAGCCATAATTCATCATATTTATATGGGAGCATGCTCAGGTAGTGTAGATTCAAGTTTGTTCAAATCATGACCCCCGGGGGTAGGGCGGGGCCAAAATGGCCGACCAAAGTTTTACATAGAAATATATAGAAAAATTCTTTAAAAATCTTCTTCTCAAGAATGACAAAGCCATAATTCAACATATTTATATGGAAGCATGTTCAGGTAATGTAGATTCAAGTTTGGTCAAATCATGACCCCCAGGGGTAGGGCGGGGTCAAAATGGCCGACCAAAGTTTTTAAAGATATATACAGGAAAATTCTTTAAAAATCATTTTCTAAAAAATAGAAAATCCATGATTGGTCATGGGACTACTTTTGGATTTAAACTTTACAATAAAAAGCCATTTTCTACTTTTTCCTACCCTTAGTGCTCAGGTGAGCGATGTGGCCCATGGGCCTCTTGTTTTTTTTGAAAATCGATATTTTTATGGCACTGATCACACCCCTGATTTTTTTTTGGAAGTCAGTGTTTGCTTTGCTCTAATTTTGTCCTGTTTACTGGGCTTTTGATCTTAAATACTCTTCGTTATTTTCATATATTTCATTGGAAGCATTCGATTTGAATCCTTTATCAGATAAATAAAATTAAAAAGCTGTTGAATAAGTATGTAACCCGGGGTCTTAGGAGAATTTAAAAAAAATCACAATTTCTATCTTAAATGTCATATACATGTATTTTGTTTACTACAGATTTGAAAATTATTTGTTCATTAGAACACAAATCAGAAGGACACATTGTAGCATTCGATGGTCTTAAATAAAAATGTCTGGAGCGGGTTGGGTTGTTGGCGGGCAGGATGGTAGGGCGGGGGTTTCGACAGTCTTGTTTGGAATCGTCGTTTCATGGGTTTTGTGGTCGGATCGGTGGGCTTGTTGGCAGATGCAGTTTGTCATTGGGGCAGGTACTGGCTGGTGTTTTTGTGCTGATTGTTTGTCCATTGTTTGTGCGCTGGGTTGGCAGCGGTTTTACCGTTGTTTCCCGATTTTGGCGGGGGTGTGGCCGGTCGGCGGGAGATTTTCGCTTCTCCATGGCAATTGATCCCACGTCTGATGTTTCCGAGGTCCTTGTTTGCTCTGCTCCTGTTTTGTATTGTTTATGGGATTTGGTGTTGGATGCTGTTTGTTGTCTCCGTGTCCTTCTGGAATTAAATATGCATGTGCTTTTTATTATTATATTTTACATATAGCACAAAAGTATATAAAGTTGTCTTATTGATCTGAGCAGAGAATTCCGTCAAACATCAAAATCACTTTTACCAATCATTATCAATATTCTCCGTATAGAATTTGTCAATTATACAATTATATAAAAGTTATACGTTGGAAAAACATTCTGAGTTTTCTGAAAAATAAATTATTGTTGTTACACTGTCTAGTATTAACAGCAATATCGTTGATAAACAAATTCTTTCCAATATAATACACATTTAATTTTCACGACCAAGCTGAAAAGGAATGTCAATATAGCACTACAACAGATAACTTATTCGTGATGAAAACATCCAAAGTCGTATAGATACGTAAACAAATTCCTCACAAAATATAGGGTACCTTACCAGACATTTGGCCTAGATACCATAGGGTCATATTTCTTATAAAACCCTTATGGATAATCTTCTAAATGGCCTATGACACAGTTTTTAATGTACCTATATTAAAAAAAAACATTTTGAAAACAATGTACAAATTAGAAAAAGAATGACAAATATAAATATTTTTTATATAACACCAAGAGATGCAAAACATATATTTGAGGAACGTGTAGTCTGTCCGTAAATGACAGAAATAGCTATTCAAATAAACTTAAGAATACACTTTTTTCATTTGTTATTTACTAAATGCCTTTTTCTTTTTCACCTTTTTGTGAAAGTATGTCAACTGGGGCGTAAACATTATATATCTGCGTTTACCACGATGTACCTGATGTATTTAGTAATTACTTTATAAAAGCATAGAGTTGATCATCGCTTAGTTCTTTATGTAGTATGGGAAAGGGTTGCAGATAAAATTCTATAGGAAGAGAAAAGCAAGGCAGACCTTATCTTACACCAAGACAATGTCTTCGATGAAGAAGAATAGTACGATAGGTATGAGAGTTCTAAGATTGTAAATTAAAATAAAAGCATTAATATTTACATGGATTATGCTTGTTAAATATCAGTAGTCTTTTTTAGTTTATTTCGTATATGTCAATATATTTTCTTTCAATTTAATCATATATTGTTTTACATGCTTAGGTTGGAGGAATTATGGAGTTCAAAAGCAGAAACTAACGATTATTTCTTTACTACTTGGAGTATTTCTGACAGTGTCTGTGATAGCTTTTATAACGCTTTTGTTTATACATCTTAAAGGTAAGAATTTCATAATAAGTATATGACCATAAAATATACCAAGAAATTAAAATAGAAATCGGAGATTGGAATGCATTAAAACCTTATTTTCTCATAGAGGAGACTAAAGCATTGCCAATTGTAAAATATTCCGTTTTTATAAGGTACTTAGTAAATATAAAAGTAATATCAACTATTATGTGTCTTTGCATTAAACGATAAAACACTTTTTGTACTCAATTTTTTAATCATACTTTGGACTATGCAAACATGTTGAAAATGCCTTAAAGCCTTTATGAAGGTTAATAGGTTAAAATGTACATGATATCATTTCTATTCAGATAAGTAAAAAAGAAAAAAAAATGTTTTATTTGTCTCTGAAATTTGAACGTGTTTGGAACCTAAGAGTCGTTGATTTATTTAATAGAATGCAAAATTATACATATATCACATGGCTTCGAGGGTGACATACCAGAACATTCGCCACGAGGTGACAGGAAAGCCCTGGAGTGTTATGTCACCCGATGCCGAAGGCAAATATTCTGGTATTGTCGCCCGAGAAGCCATGTGGTATATGTTATATGACATTTTTAAAATTTAAAATCATTCAAAATGGTTAAAATATACACAAGTAATCCAAAAATGTCTTCTTGACGTTAAGAAATACGCTGTGTTGTTTACTTTTGCTTAGAAACTGACGTCATAAAATCTCGAACCCGAACTAAAATGCGTAACGCAAAAACACGTGAACGTGATCGAAAGGATGACATAACTATTTCCGTCGGGGGTGAAATAACTGTTTCCGGCGTGACATAACTGTTTCCGGTGTGACGCAGCATTTTTCAGGGTTTATAGCGAAACTTATTACATCTGTGATATAATAAGAAAACTTATTTAAAAATGTTATATATGAAGATAACAAATAATATTCAGGATCAAAGGTCTATTAAACAATACAAAATAGCACCTTAACCCACCTCAGTATTTTGGAGCTCCCGTGCTAAATTGTTTTATGCATTTTTGATCATAAAAACTCTTCAATTTCTTCATATTTATCATACACAGTTAAAAAAGAACCATGTACGATAGACATTGTCTATATTTTGCTTTCTAATGAACGTCTTCCAGTGAAAATTCGCATATACGTTTGACATACACTAAGAATTAATAAAAGCAAAAAAAATATTTTACAAATATTAAATATTTTCTGTACAATGGTATACAATGACATTTTCAATATCTGATTTTGTGACTGCTCCGGGTACCCCTACCAACGTTCTAACTCTTCTACTATCTGTAGAGTAAATTTCCTCTCAAAAATGACATTGATACAGTTAACATGCAGTAGTCAATTCAAAAGCGACTATCCTTGATTAATATGACCCCCCCCCCAAAAAAAAAGAATGTGTGCAAAGGCTTCTAAATAATTAGTTTTGAAGCTTTGTTTTAAACCCAGTAAACTTAAGATCCATTCCTCAAAACTACTGACATTAATTGCCTCGCCAAGATCTCTAGGGGGAGTTTTACAGATTGATGTTAATTCGGCTTTCATCGAGTTTGCTCTCCTGATGGAATGCTAAGGTTTTTTTTGGCATGTTTCCTTTCTTAAAAAGGCTATCTATCTATACTGCTAAAAATAACTTTTAAAAATAAAAAAATAAAAATAAACTAATTTAGGAAAAGGCAATACTGATAAAATTTTGTTCTGGACTTAAAAATTCAAGTTTATATGTACATAATTTTTAAAATTTAAAAAAATGCATTCTTTTATTTAAGCATAACTTTTCTTTATATCTAGACAATAAAGTGTATTTTTTCATTTAATTGAGTGACTGAAATGAATGGCGACTTCTGCAGGATGGGCAATGTGATACCTCCTTAGACCTAAAGAATACATGCTGAGCACATATTAAATTGCTCCTAATCGAGATTTAATGGGTGGAAGATCCGATAACCATATGTATTTAGCTGTGTGGGATTGTTTTGCATATCATGGAATAAAGAAAGTAATTTTGTAGACACTACATTTTGAACTAAGATAGAATGTCTTTTTTTTATTTTGGCAACTTCATGTACCTACCATAATAGCAATTCTCCCGAACCCTTTCGACAAGATCTGTTGTCGAAAATTTCTGCTAAAAACAGTTTTTTTTGTGAAATTTCTCAAAAATGATTTAGTCTATCTGTGCATTTTTTAATTATTAAATATTTCAAAGAGAGTAATGTTAAAACACTCGGGAATTCAACTTAATAAAGAATTCGATATCAGCCTGTGTAAAAAAAACGACAATCTTGGCCGTATCCAAGTTCCCCTGGAGTTAAATTCTTTCTTTCTTTAAATTTTTAAATATACAAATTATACTGTGTTAGTGTTTAAAGTTCGAAAAAAGGCATGTTTAAATTAAAAAGAAGAAATAGACAGATTGTGTAACTGTAATTACGCTACATGAAATAATATATATTTAAATTTTTACTATCATTCTTCACAATTTCTTCACAAATTCACTTTGACATCCAATACTCTGTAAAGAATAAATTACAAGAGGATCGGAAGACACTGGCATGAAGAAAATAAATCATTTACAACTTTGAAGTTTTAATGTAAAAAATAAGTTTTTGCTTAAGCTTATTTTTCTCTTTTTTAATCTCATTGTGTAAGTGTAGATACATCATCGAAAAGGAATAATTGTCCGTGATTTTTTTTTACATCTTCATGATCTTTGAAACCGCAACTTTACAAAAAAAGTAATAAATACTAATGTAAATGCTATCGCAGCAGAGTATAATGTTAAATATCAACAAATTGTAAATAAGCGGTAAAGAAAATGGTGAAATGATGAGAAGCAGACCATCTCAATTTTCTCTCACAACAACCTAATGACGCTAATTCATTCATTTATCTTGAAAACGTTGGATTTGTTTTCAAGTTCTGTGTTAAAACAGTTTATTTTTCCGTTTCCCGTTATTTATCCTACATGGTGATTTGTGTGTAAGGCAGTTTTGAAACTGGCGGCATCGGATATTTGCATTGTGCCCAGTGGTTCATCCACTTCAAAGTCACAGAGAACACGAAGCAAGTTAGGGAAAGAAAACCAAGTTAGACTACCCCTCATTTTGTGAACGCAATTATTTTAGGAGTGGTTTAAGTGACGACTGCATATAAAAGTGAATGTTTTCTGATGGATGGAGAAATAACGAAACCAAGACCAAACATTGAACAATAAAGGTATATTTACAATTAGATATGTATATGTTACGATAAGTGTAATTACGGTAGTGTCTGCATATAAACTCTATCCATATCCATATCTACAGTTCCATGAGGATTTCGATCCTTGGTCAAGGTAGTTGCTTTCTTTATTGTATGAAATGCTAAACACTCGAGCGATCATTTTAGTTGCTGTAAAACTACCTGCATGTACATGTTATCATTTCCCTTTCTGAACGCCCCTTTTAAAATTAAAGGCGTTAGTAATTAGTGTTTTAATTGCATATGTCCTGTCTGAACTAATCTGAATTCAAAATCGTGTTTAATGCAATAGTAAATGATCTGGATTTATATGAGAAATTGACATCATTCTCAAATAAAATTTATTTTGTCTTAGTTTGTCTAATTGTGTGTGTAAACTGGGAATATATGTACGTGTTCTTTAGATGAACGAAATTTCCATACGAAAAACCAACGGAAAGACTATTTTTCGATTTTACAAAAATCGTGCAAGTATCACTACTCGACTGTGGTGCACAACATGTAATCAGGCATGCCTGAAGAAATAAATGCCCATGGGTTTTGAAAAATTGAAATTTAAAAACAATTATATGAGATGATTTACGAGTCTAAAATTTTTATCAGCAGGTCACCTATGTATTTGTTTAGAATATGGCGGCCAGATTTCCTTTGGACATGTTGGAAACGCATTCAGCAAGTGTTCAGTTGCATCAGCAATAAGTAAAGCATAGAAGTTGAGCTTTGGTCAAAGAAAGTAAATGTGATAGATGTGTTTGAAATCAAATTGTTCGACAATAATCAAGAGAGGGACTTGCCTCCTTCTCCTTTTTTTCCTTCTCGGATATAGACTGGACAATACTGTTTTCAACGTACTTTGAGATATTGTTTTTGACGTCACCATGCTACTGCATGCGCATTGAACACCGTCCCCCCGTTGAATACGGATTGAAATCAGTAAACATAACTGTATGCGTTTGTATAGATTATATGTTGTTTATTCATAGATTATATAAAAATGTATTACATCATTAGTATATTGAAATAAAAATGTCCCTCGAAAGTCTTTTTGTCAATAAGATGTAATATGTATGTTTTTTCCTGTAAAAAGTGTATATTGTATCAAATTATTTTTAGAGGAAATTACATGTAACCCTGTGATGTTTTGCTGTTTTCTATATATAATGTTTATTTTCTTACTGCGAACCGGTCACGGTAGCCTAGTGGTAGAGCGTTCGCTTCGTGATCGGGAGGCCCGGGTTCGATTCTCGATCGCGGTGCCGCGTCATACCTAAGACGCAAACATAGGTAGTGACTGTTCCTTCGCCAAGCGCTCGGCACAAGAAGTGAAAGTCACGGGTCTTTCGGATATGACCTTAAAAACGTAGGTCCCGTGTCACGGTAGGCGTTGGCATGATAAAGAACCCTCACTGCTCAATGGCCTTGAGTATAGGTCTAAATTTGAAGCCCTTCACCGGCATCGGTGACGTCTCCATATGAGTGAAAAATTCTCAAGAGGGACGTTAAA